GTCAAATGTAGTACATCAAATAGAGAGAAGTACATTTTATAAATTCCAGTCTCACAACAATACCATAAATAACCTGTAATGCAACATGGCTGTAGCATGATGAGGAGTATTAATACCATATTTTTCTCCTATTAACTTTGTCAATATATTTTCTCCACTGCCATCAATTAGAGGTCATTGCAGTGCTCATTCAGTTCACTTATTCTTAGGTGTTGCTTACCATAGTAAACAACATGGAAGCAATGTTTTAAAATCTAAGAAACTCTTAGATTTAATTGTCTCTGAGTTACTTAAAGTCACAATCATTTATACGTGAAATTTCTTATTTACAAACCAAGATAAACAAAAAAGTTACATCTCAACCAAAAACTGTAGGCTTTCATAGTTAGTAGATACCATTTAATGATGTAAATACATACCAAGTATCTAATATAATATAGGGTTTTATTTTTAAAAGGTTATATTTAATTCATGTTTCTCTTGTCACTCTTTTCAATTTGCCAAAACAACTGTTTTCCATATAACTGTAGAATTTTTCTAGTGACCACACAAACAATATTAAATATAGAGAATGCTATGTTTCTGAAGTGATCATTTAAAATAAATTTTCACTTTTAGAGCAGTCAGTTAATAAGCAATTACAGAATATGCTTTCTGCTTATACATGCTAAAAACTTTATTTCCTTCTTACTTCAATATGTGTTAAGGAATAATACTAAGTGCTCATTTAAAAGCACGCACTACTGAAATGGATGTTAAAGGAAAGAAACACCTAGTATTAGACATTAGGCTTTAATGATAATTTAAAAAACAAACACTTTTTATTATGTTATTCATTAAAGAATTATAGCATTTTGCATAGATGCAGAACTGTTGCTAATTTCAGTTCTCATATTAAAAAGAATCTAGTCAGGATATTCAGCGAATTAGATAATTTGCCATATCCTTATTAATGAAAAGTATGAATGACTGAATATATTATGCAAAAATATAAACCCTCATATCTCTTATCCACTTATACATTCACATAAATATTATGAATTTTATTATTTGACTAAAAATTTAGTACATTCTCTAAGTAATGTGCTTTAATTTCTTTCCAAATAGCGTTATGAGCATTTAATGTCTAATTCATTATATTAAAACTCATTACTCTCTCTCTCTCTCTCTTTTTTTCTCTCTGTTATATGTTTAATTGCTGTACTCGATTATGATGGGTGATTTGTAAAAACCATACAAATATATAAGTGTCTTAACTTACAAATGGAAACTGAAATGGAAAACTTTTGACTTTTTAAAATCTTTGACATTGTAGTTGTTTTATTATATGTGTAGGAATAATTCAGCAGCATCACTTTAAATAAGCCTTGAGTTCAACCTTTGTCTTTCTAGTCTAAACATTTTTATATTTCACCAAAGTTTATCTGGACTTTTTCAAAATGATCTACGTCAAGGAATCAGGCTAAGTGATAAAAGCAGGAAGGGAAAGTCTGAATCAGCGAATATTTATATTGGCAAGAGCTGACAATTTTATAAAAGAAAAAACAAACACAGAGGCTGTTATTTCTGAAGTGAAATCAGCTTCACTCCATTTGTTTCAGGAAAACATCATTGCATGAAATGATATAAATCAGTATTGATAACACTACGCTTCAAACTAGAAGAGACAAATGCCCTCTAAGCCACAGTATTTCAATGGATCGGAGTCAACTTCACTGTTGTCTAGTTTTTGCTAATCATCATAAAAATTCCCTGTGAAATAATTATCCCTAAAACAATCAAGACAGTGTATCTCTATAAAGGAGAAGATCGATTTAACAACAAACACTAGATTTATCTGTATTGATTAAAGGGCATTCAGTGTAATTTTAGTGAATTATGTCTGGCTTTCATTTCCCAGTAGAAATTTTTCTTGTGATGATCAAAAGGCAGATTGCAAACTCTTACATGATCTTTTGTGTGCTACCTACATAATATCTAACTAATTACCTTTCAAAGTAACATTGATGTGAGAATGAACAAAATACTATTTCTTCTTTACTACAAATTCATATGACTGAGTTTATAGCACTTACCTAAGAGCCTCATGCCATCTTCTCAATTCATTAATACAGAAATCAGGACTGTACTAAGAGTCAGTGTTAAAGGAACAAATCCAAGATCATCTTATGAGAATAGAATTAGAAAGATTAAGAAAATAATATGATTTTTCTTCTTAAATAGGAGTAATTTAAAAGGAAATGTTAACACTTTCATGTCTGAATTGTTATTAATAGTGAGAGGGAGAATTAAGGAAATTAGACAGATTTAAAGATAACTTAGTGGTGCTGTATGTGTGACACCATTGTTGGGACGGTTTAACTGAGAATTAATTGGAGCTAAAAAGGCTTTTTATTTTGCCAAATCAATGTATATGTCAATGTCTACTCATGCATTTATAATCTGATATAATGATGAGGAAGAGTCTAACTTACTTTGTTTAGTTAATAACATTAAGCCAGAAAAGATCACTTACTCATTTCATGTTCTCCAACGCACGGCTAACATAAGCAGTGTCTAATTATAGGACTAAATGTTTTAATAAAATAACCAATTAGAATGTTTACTGATTCTAACTAGCCACTGTTAAATATACTTTCACATGCATCCTTTGAATTACTTTAGTTAATAATTCAGCCTTCCACAATCACTAGAAAGCAAAAGGACAAAATAAATGACAAAAAGTTGTTTTTTAAAAGTCTGACAGACAATTAAATATTAAGAGGCAGTGTATTCTTTGCTGTCTGTCTGTGCTAAAGGTGCATACATGAAAATATTTCCATGGAAAAGTAAGAAGCTTTCTCATATTCTCTAGGAATACGTAATTTTGCACATTTAAATAATCTTCTTGCTGAATCAAACAGATCATAATGCATGTTTAAGACTCATATGATAAAGGAGATATGTCTTAGCATTTTAATATTTTGACTCACAAATTCAGATTAATGCATTTGCCTTCAAAGCAGATTTATTGGCTCTGATCTGCACTTAATATAAATAATCCAGAGGCATCTCTGATTTATTTTTGTTATCTTAATTATGAGTCATTAATTGCAATCCAAAATAATCAACCCAACAAGCACCAGTATTTTGTATAGTGACACTGACTAGCAATGATATTGACAACTAATATGTTAAATACAAACTAATTTAAGAAAAGCTTAACAGAAGCAAATGAGAATGTTTTCTGCCTTGTCTAGAAGTAAAACTGCTAATATTAGTTTAAAATGATTGGTTTTAATGATTAGTGATCTTGCTTAAAAACTTGTAAATTACATTAAAATGTTACTTTACAACGTGAATTATTTCCTAGAATTTCTCATGTCTAATTAGATTAAAGTTAGGAACTACAGAACCTATTGATATAAAGTTATATGGTCATCCAAAATAATATTAGAACCGTTTTAAGTGCCAACACAATGATGCATGCACATAATATATCACAACAGAAACTTGAGAATGAAAAAAGGTGCTGAAAATCTTGATGTTAAATTGCTATGCAAGTGTCCAACATGACTACATAAATGCAACAATGGTTCTATATTGATTATAGTCCAGCCCTTTTTCCATTCAATATAGTGGAAGTTTATTTAAATAGATGCAGTATCAGATCCTTTCAGTTTGTGTTCATTTAATTGCTATACTAAAAAGTATATTATTCCATGCACATAAATGCATAGTTTTTTCTTACAGCACTTGTAGCAAAAACATAAATATGTCTGAAAATAGTTTAAAAGGGTTAATATAACTTTGAAAAAAATTATCACTTGCTGAAAAGTAAAATAAACTTGACGGTATTTTAGATTACCTTAACACATACAAAGTACATGTTGTATTGTCTTACTCAATGTATATAAAAGTCTGATATATGATAAAGTTATCTTATTATAATTAGACTACTAAAAGGAAATAATTAAAGTCTCTTACATTTTTCTAAGAAGTGAAGTTACTGAAATATCCAAAAAGAATCAAAGCTTTTATCAAAAAAGATAATTCTTTGAACTGAATTTTAATAAACCAATAACAATGTTATTGTTCAATAGGTAATAATTGTCTTCATATAAACTGAAAAATATTGTTTGGGGTGATTAATATACAATGCCACATTATGCATTTGGGAGTGTCTGTGCATAATTTTTACTTCTAATGTTTTTATGTAATTGAGAGAACATGTTCATTTGCTCTAATAACTACTAAGATGCACTTAATAAAATGAAATGTAATAATACTTGTAATTTAATCTATTCATGGAAGTAATTTTAAAAGTCTACCACTCTTCTTAATGTGGATAACATTCATAATTTATAAAGTGTTGTGATGCAGAATTGACAATGCCATTGTTTTTTACACTTTGAGTTGATTCTGCAGCCTTCATTATCTGCATACCAACCTCAGGATTATCAAGGGCAAACAAAAGATAATTAACACCAGAAACAGGCAAATGCAGGAGCTACTGACTGAGGTTTCTCACTTAATGCAATACCACTGAAAACTGGGAAATAGAATAAGTATTTAAAACCTTTTTTTTAACTGCAGAAAACTATTTTATATGTATTTTCTTTGCCATTCTTAAAATGATAATTTGGCTATAACGACTATTTATCCTATGACTGATTGACCTACCCACCCTTTGATACTCATTATATGCATTCAGCATAAAAAGTACTTTTCAAAATTGTTAACCTTAATTTTCTTTGCAGAGCTTTTTTTTAGAGCAAAAGACACCCATGTTCTATTTCTACTATGTCTCTGACTCACTGAGGGTATGTATACACTGGGACAAGGTCAAATTAAGATATGCAATTACAGCTCCGTTAATTTGTGTATCTGAAGTTGAAGTACCTTTACTCGACTTTTGGTGCTGACCACTCCGCAGGAAGTTGAAGGAAGAACACTCTCCCTTCAGCTTCCCTTAATCCTTATAGAAGCAGGACTACCGGCATCAACCCAAGTGCCCCTCTCAGTTCAAATTAGTGTGTCTCACTAGACCCACTTATTTGAACCCTGGAAGATCAACAGCAGCAGCTTGGATCTTCTCTGTAGTGTAGACATACCCTGAATGACTTTAGACATGTCATTTAACTTCTCTTGGCTTCGATTTACCTTTTCTGTAAAATAGGCCTGATAACGTCAAGCTACTTCACAGAGATCTCAGTGAGCTAGTACATGTAATGAAAGTGTTGTAAACTGTGCTACTGTATAGTTGAATATATTGATGAAAGACCCAATATAAGTGGCCATGTTATTTTGGTATGTACTCATGACAAACAAACAAGAAGTTACTGAGATATGATACTGTTCCAATTCAGTATTTTTTGAATAAGAAGAGTCAGTTGGAGATTTTCTTGTGCAGGAACATTGAATTGGATTCTATATAAGATGACCAGACATCCTAATATTGGAGGCTTTGTCTTATATATGCAACTATATTCCACTCCCCCAAAAGGCCCAGTTTTTTACACTTGCCCTCTGGTCACCATAACTCAATGTTACATTAAAAAATGTCTGCCGTATAGCTAATGAGTAACTATAACCCAGAAGAGGAAAAATTATCTTCTGTGAATCAAAGACAAGGGAGTCATTTTATCAGTAGACTGTAAACATAATACAAAATATCCGCACAGAATCATTTTGCAAAATGCTAGAAAAATTAGACTGTAGCACCTAGTATCTTGATGCAGTTTACAAATGTTGGAGACAACATAGCAAATTCTTACTTACCTTAGAAATTCATGCCTTCAAATAAACGTGACTGCTTGCCCAAGGACTACTCCTTTTATCTTACCTCTGCTTTTCTAATTTTGCAGCTAAAATCCATCAATAAGGGACTGATCCTCAACAAGATCCAGGTACGAGAACCCTTGTTTCCATGCAGAACCATATTAGCTTTAGCGGGTTCTACATAGGCTGTTTTCATGGATTTAATGGCAAGATTAAGGCTTTAATTATTAAATGTATTATCATTAATTTGAAATTAGTATTAAAGAGTTACAATATGATTAATTGCAGTTGGAATACTCTTAGTATCCCAACACAGTATGCCTTGCTGTTCCCATAAAATATGGCACCCTGAATAATACATACATTATTAAAAGCACTGCAATTATATACTTCAAACATCAGACTGACCGATAAAGTAGTAATAATGAAATGGGAACCACATGTGTCATTTGGGAAATCATGGAAAAGGTAAATTGGACAAAAAATTTCTAACATGTAGGGAATATACAGACCATTTCTGAGCTAGAATGTTTTTCTTCTGCTCCAGCTACATGCCAATAATAAAGCCATTTGACAAAAAATGAAGAAGTGTTCTGGTGTCGAGTCTATGTATTAACAATGAACTATCATTTTATATTTCAAAAATACTATAAATCAGTGATGGGTAACCCAGGATAGTGAGTGGGCCTCATGAGTGGCCTTCCTTCATCTCAGTAGGCCGCAAGATTGTCATAAGTAAGATGGTTCCTTATATAGGTAGTTTTGCTAATTGTGCTTGTGTACCTAGAACTTGTGGGGTATGCCAGTTGAACCATAGCAGCACTTTGATTGATGCAGAGGGAGTGCATAGCTCTCACAGTCAATGTTGTGTGCAATCAGCATGCACCTCAGTTAATATGTGTGTCACTTTAGCAATACCAGAGGGAAAACAAAAAGTCTTGCGGTCCACACATAGAACTCTGATAGTCTTGTATGTGGCCCACACACTGCAGGTTGCCTGCTACTGTTATAAATCCTTATATATTTTTGAGTTTGCCATCCTCAGTTATATAGTTTTCTACCATGTACACTGTATAGAAAGTACACAAAAATACACAGAATAATACATGGACCTCATTCTCTTCTGATGTACACTAGTACTACATCAGTGTACTAGAGTGACTTCTATGGGCTTAGCCTAATTTAAACCAGTTTAAGTGAGGTGGCCCAGATTCCTTCTCTTGGTACAGGCCCATTTACACAATCAGAGAAGTGCACATGTGCAGAAATGTGGCCACAACTAAGAATGCAGTGAGGGATAGAGGAAACGCTCTGGTAGCACAAAGCCAGGAATCAGTCAACTTCTATGTGAACTGCTGGTCCCTCCCCAGAGATGGAGGGAGCATGAACTGGGCTGGATCTCTCCTATTCTCTTCCATTTCCCAGTTGGCTATGATGCATTAGGGCAAGACATTTAAAGGTATCTAGCTGTGCTGAAATACCTCTAAAGATCTTACCATTAGAGTACACTAACTTATACAAAGGTTAGAGAAACTTGATAGTCAAGATGTTGTAACCAGCTCTCTGACCCACCCACCTGTGACAGGTGGATCTTAAAAAAGCAGATATTAAAATATCTAAATTTGTATAGACATTCACATTAGTAAGTTATAACAATTGTTATAGATAACTGAATCAACATAAGACCATTATATTAAATGTACTCTGGCTGGAATATATACCATGTCTGCTGAAATAATTCAGTTTATGTAAGATTTCCCACATTTAACTGTTCCCTCATTAATACTCACATTACAAGGAAACCATCAGTGTCTTCACTATTATATTCCAGCTTTCAAAAACATTACTTTAAAGATATTACTTATATGATACAATATGCAGGAATAGAACCATAACAAGAAATAAATGGCATCATCTAATTAGAAGGCCCAAAGGACATACACAAATAAAATGTTAAAGTATAGATGCTCTGTGTCACAGATATTTTGGTAATGTCTTGCTTGACATATACTGAGTCTTATCCATCAAATAGCCAACATTACAAAAGACTATATTCTAATCTTCATTGGTATGATGAGGTTCCTATTCTCAAAAGTTTTCATAAGAGCTACCCTACACAGTTTTCTGATCTGCATCTTTTAAATGAGTGTGGCATTCATGGTTTCATTTTAAAAGCTTACTGTAGACTAGGATTTGCAAAGATTTGTATTACATAAGGAGGAATACTTAATACTGAGCAGTCATAGTGAGTCAAAATAGCATGTGCTCTCTTCATTTGGATATTTTTAAACAAATTGTATCTTTACACTGCATTTAATATTATTTTATTGCTAAGTAGTTACATTTTCCATCTATTTATTTTACCAGCACACATTTTTTTGTAAATGTATGTGACTTGTTCAGGAATGGAACAGGAATTTAAAGACACAAGGCCATACATTTTCTTCAAGCTGTAAGCAGAATTCCCATTTAGGCTAAGGAAATTGTGTGCTTAATTGAGAACAGGAGACCGCTCATCATAATACAATAATTATACAATGAAATGCAGATATTAGAAAGGTGACATTAACAATGGAAAATTGACACTATAACTTCTAATGTTTTACTGTGGGCCTTATAATAAAACAAGTATTACATAAGTAACTATTTAGTAATTGACTTCACACTACACTCTATGTGGTGAAACACATTTTCCACAAGCAAGGATTAAGTTCTAACTTCTCCCTCACTCTCTGTAATTTTTCTCTCTGTCATATATATAAATAATAAAAAAAGTATGCAGCAGTTGGAATTTCTTTATCGGAAGTAGGGGACCCACTGCGTAGGATCCAATTAAGAGATCACTTTTAAGTACAGTAGAGTCTTGATTATCTGACCTAAACAGTACCGTAGGATAGTCGGATAGTGGAAATGTTGGATAATATGGATAATTCTTTTAATTTTATAAATTTGCCCTTTGTAATACCTTGCAGGGTCCAGTTTTAAACCTCCTGTGTCTGCCGCCTTGACCAGCCCTTGTATTTCTCCCCAGACGGGAGTAAGATCCTGGGCTCTGCCTTGCAGTGGCTGCACAACCCTTGCCCTGCGCCACTCCACGTCCCCCGCCGATGATTTTCCAGAGCTGTGTGTGGCTTGCCTGAGCTGTAACACAGGGCAAGGCACTTATGGCTTTGCCAGAAACAGGAAAAAAGCAACTTTGCCAACAGCAAATTCTACAGGCACAACAAGGCATTGAAGACCTGCCAACCAGAGCTCCCGCCCAGCCCTGGAAAAAGGAAAAGAGAAAGCAAGGCCATCGTGGTGTGAAGCATCCCTGGAGCCCCTTGCTGTGACGTGACAGGTGGCACATCAGATAAAGCGGAATGTCAGATAAGCGGAGGTTGAAAAATCGAGACTTTTCTGTATAGGATTCCTTCTCCAGTTTCTGGGGCTCTGTTATTTAATTTGACTTCCCATCAAGTGCCTCTTTTAGTTATATCTAGGTTTAGAAGAGGAAGATTGAGGTTATCCAGTAACTCTCCTCGACTGCATTCACACATTAAAAGTCCAGTCTTGACCTTCAGATACCCGGCAGTGAGGGGAACGTAAGCTTCTTACTGCCACATGAGTCCACTCCACATTGCCCAGTCCTGAAGGGCACAGGAATTGGGCCCACTATGAAAGATGGGCAAAGCTCATTCTGCAGTTAGAACCCACACAATTGTATAGAGGTGTGATGGTGGGGAGGGCTCATACAAATAAGTTACCAGCACTTTAGAAAAGCTTTCTGCAGATAGTGCTCCTTTCAAACTGGGCATAGGGGTCATAATTGTTACTCCAACACTAGCGACTATAATAAATTCTGCAGAGCTGCTGGAGGGAGCACAGGAAGTGAAGGAAAGGACTGACATTTATAAATCACCCTAGATAATCAAACAAACAATAAAAAATAATAAACAGATTGTTGGGTGTGGGTTAGACTTTCACTCACACACCAATTGCCTAGGGAAGAAGGGACAGTTTACACCTGTTTCAGAAGTGTCATCTGGAGAGGCTGGTTTTGCATCATGTATCCCATTCACTCTTCCCTTCCCAGCTGAGAGTCAGCCAGGGAGGAATCTCCAACTGTTCCTTGGACAAGGAATGTTGGGAAGGCACCACATCCCCAACATCTCTCCCCAAACTTCAATTACCATCTATGCTCTGCAGGGAGAAAAAATATGGACTTTGGGTGTCACTGTTTAAAGAAGAGGATCCTTCTTGGTACTCCATTTGCCTCCTTGTCTGGAGAGTCCAGACAAAGCTTGACAGATTTGTGGGCTTCATGGCACAGAGGTTCTGTGGATGTTCCGAGGTTAGTTCTTGTTAATCCTATGCTTTGACTGTTCAGGGACATGCAGGTGTGTTTTATGTTGCTGCTGCTGTTTTGGGGTGTGTCTACACCGCACCTCAGGGGTCGAAATAAGATACGCAATTTGAGCTACACAAATTACGTGTCTTATTTTGATCTTATTTCAAAATAGCTTATTTCGAAATTTGGCACTATCTAAACAGCACATATTTCAAAATAAATTGCTATTCCAAAATGTCCCTTACTCCTCATGGACTGAGGTTTATGGGGATATCAGAATAGTGAGCCTGTTATATTTCAAAATAATGGGCACACTCAAAAGATGCGGAATAGCTATTTCAAGATACTCCAGTATCCCGAAATAGTGCTTCACTGCAGATGTAGCCTTAGAGACTTCTACTGGAAAGCATGATAAACAAATGTGAGACACCAGAATAGATCCCCATATGGACTCTTTAAGTGTACTAAAAAGTGCTGTGTACCTCAATACAGCTAACAGAATTAGAAATAAGGTACATTTTATTTTTATTTTTCTGAAAATGGTGCAATGTCATGCTTATTTTGATAACAGACCCACCACTTGGATTTCATCACTTAAAATTATGTCCCAGAACTTCATAATTTCGTACACAATTACAATTGCCAGATTTGTAACTTTGTGAGCAAATGACCAGTTAGACTTCTGACTAGACTTAAGTGTCTGCCAATGACAAATGTGCACACAAGTTGCATGTATATACTTTTAAACATTGAATTATGGAAAATGAGTCCTAGCTCTGTATGTATGCATTGATGAATGCAGTTATCTATCTAAACAACGCTGAAGCTAGCTGCACTGCCAGCTGACTGAGGAGCTTTTAAACCACTGTTGCTTTTCTGACTCTCTCAGCTGTCCATGTGTCTTATGTTATTCAATTGATCTACAGTTGCTAGGATCAATGTGGATCTCCAGAGAGGGGGAGAATAATCACCCAAATTTATCAGTCATGTCAGATAAATGTCTACAACTCAGAGTGAACTCTTGTGAGTGGAACTGAAGACAGAAGTAATCTGGAACTCCTTTGAATGTCTCATTGATGTGAAAATACAGTGAAGAAGCTCTAGTCTGGTGGTCCAATTGTTCAGTGAATGCAGACTGTTCAAAATACTGAAGTTTCAACCATTAATCTACAGGAACATAGTGAATAGAGGGATAAAGAATGCTGGACTTAAACCACAAAATTACTTGTTTGAGTTAATGCTGGTTTTGCGAACCAGCAGTGGTATGTTAGAACATATTTTGTGTGCACAAATTCCCCTATTAAAGCTTTTTGTGGATTTCTTTGCCTATATTAGGCTACAGTTTGAAGGTGATTTTCAATTCCAAACCATACAGCTTCTAGTATTACTTCTGGTTCGTTTAAACAACCAAGTTCAAGTGAACCTATGCAATAACCTGAATTTTGACTATAGGTTTATTATAAGATTTAATAATGGAAAATAGGATTTGCTTGAACTAGACCTTTTTAAACCTAAAGATTTATTTCCAGGAACCCATTCTCATACTAAAAAGGTGGGTACCCATGTCAAACAAGAATTTGCACAATGTTCCTCAGTAAGGCTGTGTCCAGACTCAGGGGTTTTTTCGAAAAAAGTAGCCTTTTTTCGAAAAAACTTCCCCTGCGTCCAGACTCAAGCCACGTTCTTTCGAAATTAATTCAAAAGAACGCGGCTTTTCTTTCGATGGCGGTAAACCTCATTTCACGAGGAAGAACGCCTTCTTTCGAAAGTTCCTCTTTCGAAAGAAGGCGTTCTTCAATGTAAATAGGGCTTCTTCGAAAGAGAGCATCCAGACTCACTGGATGCTTTCTTTCGAAAAAGCAAGCCGCTTTTTCGAAATTTCTCCGTGCAGTCTAGACACTCTCTTTCGAAAGAGGCTTGCAGTCTAGACATAGCCTAAGAGAACAGCACTAGCTCCCATTGTTTAACTATATAGGTCACTTGGGGGAAAATAGGAGGAAAAAGACATGTTAGTTGGAAAATTCTAAGCTTTGTTGTCATATGAAAATAAATTTCTAGATTAATTCAAAGTGATAAAGGACATAGTTCAACCTTTGCCACAGCTGACTAAGTATACCTAATCTGTATGTGGTAAGAGTATATACTTAAGACTTGTGCCTCCACTGATTGCTCATGAGACTGAGGAGAATTCAACCCTACGGTTTTACTATGGCAGTAACAGCATCATGTCAAACCAATCTGACAGCTTTCTTTGATAGGATATCAAGCCTTGTGAATAAGGGAGAAGCGGTGGACGTGGTATACTTAAATGTTAGTAAGACATTTGACATGGTCTTGCATGACCTTCTTATCAATAAACTAGGGAAATATAACTTAGATGGGGCTACTGTAAGGTGGGTGCAAAACTGGCTGGACAACCATTCTCAGGCAGTAGTTATTATTGGTTCACAATTATGCTGGAAGGGCATAACAAGTGGGGTTCCGCAGAGGTCTATTTGGGGTCTGTTTCTGTTCCATTTCTTCATCAACTATTTAGATGATAACATAGAGAGCACGATTATTAAGTTTGCAGATGATACCAAGCTGTGAGGAGTTGCGAGTGCTTTGGAGGATATGATCTGGATAAACTGGAAAAATGGTAAACAGGATGAAGTGCTTTGGAGGATATGGTCAAAATTCAAAATGATCTGGACAAACTGGAAAAATGGTAAACAGGATGAAGTTTAATAAGGACAAATGCAAAGTACTCCACTTAGGAAGGAACAATTAGTTTCACACATACAGAATTGGAAGTGATTGTCTAGGACAGTGATTCCTAAACACTTTGGCATCATGCCCCCTTTTTGATTTTTGAGAAAGACTCACCCCCCCCCCCCATAGCAGCAAAACTTGTTGAGCAAAAAAAAAAAAAGAGAAAAGGAACAAAAATAGAAGCAAAACTTGGGGGAGGGGGAGATTGATGGGAGGAACCTTGATCGCCTCACACACAACCCTGGAATTTCTTCATGCCCCCCCCCCAGTTTGGGAACCCATGGTCTAAGAAGAAGTACTGCAGAAAGGGATTTAGGGGTCATAGTGAATGATAAGTTAAACATGAGTCAACAGTGTGACAGTGTTGGAAAAAAAACCTAACACAATTCTGGGATTCATTAACAAGAGTGTTGTGAGCAAGACCTGAGAAGTCATTTTTCTGCTCTATTCTGCACTGATTAGGCCCCAGCTGGAGTATTGTATCCAGTTCTGGGCACCACATTTCAAGAAAGATGTGGAAAAATTGGAGAAGGTCCAGAGAAGAGCAACATAAAAGTTTAAAGGTCTAGAAAACATGACTTAAGAGGGAAGACTGAAAGAATTGGGCTTGTTAGTTTAGAAAAGAAAAGACTGAGAGGAGACATGATAGCAGTTTTCAAGTATCTAAAAAGGTGTCACAAGGAGGAGGGAGAAAAATTGTTCTCCTTGTCCTGTAATGATAGGACAAAAAGCAATGGGCTTAAACTGCAACAAGGGAGGTTTAGTTTGGACATTAGGAAAAACTTCTTGTCCGAATGGTTAAACACTGGAATAAATTGCCTAGGGTTGTTGGGGAATCTCCATCACTGGAGATATTTAAGAGGAGGTTGGATAGACATCTATTAGGGATGGTCTAGATAGTGTTTGGTCCTGCCATGAGGGCAGGGGACTGGACTCAATGACCTCCTGAGGTCCCTTCCAGTTCTATGATTCTAGTGATATAGTTGTTTCTATTTGTCATTGCAACAACCAAATTGTGTTAATTAGAGGCTATAGTTAGAATTCCCCAGGTAAGCACTCTAACTTTTAGGGTGAACAGCGTACCCATCCATCACTGGTACAGTAAGAAATAATGTCCATGGTTCCTACAACTCACTAGAATTCCTCCATTTTAATATTATGGGAAGAGGATAATTTATTTTCAGTGTATTTATTTATTGTCTTTGGAAGACTAGGAAAACTGATGACCTGCTCAGAATTTTATTATGTCACCAAACTGAGCCAAAAAGGACTGGGCCAAGCCTGGGGAAATAGATGAGCATTTATCAATTACTACATTTGTGCTGTCCCACCAGGCTCCCAACCAGGATGATTCCTCTCCTCTCTCAAGCTGGCTGGTGGTGCCAAGTGATATGATTTTAACTGGACTTTAAATCCACTGCTCCCGCAACCTGCCTTTTTTCTTACTTGACTGTGAGGTGTTAGCTCCTTTTTCCTAAGGCACCTTTCTAAAGAAAGGAGAGCCCACACAGAGACCTTCTTATGCCTATGAAATGGCAGCACCCAGAGACCTTAATCAGGATCAGTGCCTCATTGTGGCAGATGGCGTATACAAGCACACAGTCCTTGAGATCCCTGCGATCCGTGCCCCACAATGGCAGATGTTGTAGGAACACACTGTTCCCAATGCTTGCGTTCTGTTGAAATAGCACTTCACAGGGATGGATGGAAATAAGTGGCCACAGCTCAGCATTGTTGCCTTGATCCCAGGTTAGACTTAATGAATTTAGGTTTATTGTTATACTAGAAATCAATGGTGTGAACGTCATCATTAGGGGGAGGAGGGACGAGGTGGTGACGTACACAGCCAGGGGGTGGGGCTGTGTATGTCATCGCCCCCCCCCCTTCCCCTCCTGCTGCGGGAGAGCCCAAACGGCCCCTTGCGCTGCTGGCTTCCCCAGCTGCCTGGCTAAGGGGCGCAGCACTCAGCTGAGCGCCTCAGCGGGAAGGGAAGGGGAGGCAGTGATGTACACAGCCACACCCCCTGGCCATGTACGTCACTGCCTCTCCTCCTTCTCCTCCCTCCGTGGCTGCTCAGCTGACTGTTGCGCGCTCAGCCGGGCCACCGCAGGGGAGGAGGGGCGGGGCAGGAACGGAAAACGCCCCGCCCCCCCCGCCCG